TTGATATCACTCAAATCTTGCTGGCCCAATACTACAGATTAGTCTGAGTGATTCCTAACTACTGAACTTGCTCAGCAGTATATTTCTCTAGTTTGTGATTAACTAAGAAGTACCGCCTAATATTAACTTTATAAGTGGCTGAATAATATATTGTAAACATTAATGTTTTAAGCAATAAACCATTTGTGGTCTGATATATTTTTTGGATAGTCTTGCTTTACTAGCTTTCATCTCACTTTTGTCTTCTTACGTGCACTGTTGAAAGTTTTCTGTTAGAATACTACAAAGCAAAGGCGTGGGCAAAATACAAATTTTTGAAGTTGACTGAAAGTTTGTTGGTGATAATTCATGTGTAAAGTTGCAGTCAGAAAGCTATCAGTTGACGGATAAATTTATAATTTTCTTTTCAGAAATGAATAGAATGATAGCTGATTTGCACAGTAATGAAATCAGTAATAACTGAAATTTAGTTTGACATCATATTTGAGTCACATGTGAATAAGCTTAATTCAACTAAAAAGTCTCGAAGGAACTGACCTTAACTATTTCAACGAGTATAGTGAACTTGACAGAAATGCTTCATCAAATAAGCATCGGAATTCTTCAGCTGAGGTGGTTTAAATCAAGCCCTAATTTATCAACAATGAATCAGTGGGATGTTTATTTGATATTCTGATCTAAGTTGATGAATTCTTCAACAACTATTATGAAGCTGAACATCATCAACATGATAATCTGATTGCGTCATATCACATAAAGTGAAGGCATGATCAGGTTGTATCCACTTATTCTCACTATCAGCTACTCAGGAAATTAATCTCAAGGTGGTACTAATCATGGGATGATATCATTTGAAGAATCATTGGAAACGTGGAAGCTCTAGTCAGTCATCTCATGAACGTGTAAGACTCTTCAGCCATGCATATTTACGACGTTCCCACGGATTGAACCACTTCAAAATCAATAAACCGTGACAAACCCTCAAATTAAACTTCTATCCAGTGGGTAAAACAGATTATACGTGAAAAATCCTCAACCGTGCCTTTGGATGGTGCAAGCGATATATAGCAAAATGACAGAAGTAAGAAAGTATGGATCATTGGGTTTCAATCCAGTGACTCGATTGTAACATGCCCGTCAATGAAAGTCCTGAGTTCATTTTTTGTGGGTCATGGGTGCGTACTTCTCAGGAGCCTATACTGTGACAGGAATAAATTCCAACAAACTCCCAAGCTCAAAAACTGACATAAATTAAATTTCCTTACATACATCTTTAGATTGATCTTCAGCAATTTTATTCACTGGAACCAGAAATGCCGACAAAAGCTTTTAACAAATTAGTTGTCCATTCGAACTACTCACTATCAAAGGTATGTTCCAGGTTGATTTACGTGTACAAAGTAAATACTCATGTTTACTTGTCCTGTCCTATTTTTTTCCTCTTCTATTTAAACAACTGTTCGTGTGAGAATGCAAACATAAGCGAGAGGGCAATGTAAACATTGGCTAAAATTCATACATTTGCCTTGATACTAAAACGTTTACATTTTAATAAAGTTGGTAAACTAACCAAATAAGTTGGCGTATAATTAAACGTGAAGTAGCTATTTGCCAACTCATTCACCTTTTTTTAGTTGAAACAGATGATGACGTGACCTTTATGTAGTACATCTTCAACCGAACACTTATGAGGAAATTTTTGAAATGTCATAGAATTATGCCAGATTTTCCTTCTTCGGAATGGATGTTTAGAATATTCAGTTGGGGCACAGTTTACATACAGAGTGAAGAAATATTCTAATCTGCTGAAATAACCCAGTAACGTGATATTTAGATACAGATAATCCTTATATGTCTCTTGGCCTTTTAACACTTCAGCATATCTGGGTATTCTATCTTATACGACCTAAGTTTCTGAAGAATAATGATCTTATTTCGTGGATACTGTGCTATCCTTGTATTAGATTAGCATATTTTACTCAACAAGCTTTCGAAACCAAAATTCTAACTCCTAGTATTGAAACTATTACAAAAATAAAAAAACGTATCAATATGTTGAATTAATTTGTCAGTATGTCAATTTGAGATAGCCCTAGTTTCGTAGATTCATATTATTGGTACTGCCTGATGATTGGAGGTGAAATAGAAATCTGAATCTCGGTAGGATTCGAACCAATGACTTCCGAAAGACAAAATAAAGTTTAGCGGTATATATTTCAATAGTTTTCCGGTAATTTAACCGCATAATTTACATTCTTGGAGGAAAAATTGATATTAATTCAAGTTTTACGTGATCTTAAGTTCTGTTTCAGTTGAAAAAAAACTTAAGTTGGTATTCAGTTGAATGAACAATGGAAACCTGGGAGCACTAGACAGCTGTTTTGTCCTAATGTGGGACTTCTCAGCGGTACGCTCTGATATCAGTCCGTGATGGATACTGTCTCAAAATTAAAATCCCCATTCATATTAAAATAAATAACAAATCTGTTTGTTTACGTCCTGTTTTTGCAATGTATCAATAAGAGAGAGGATAATATTTCATGAATCATCATATCCCTTGTATAGATATAGAAAACTAAAGGTCAGAAATGCAAGATGGTAGACGAGTAAGTGAATGAATACGGTATGACTTCATTCAAAATTAGTTGACTGAAGATTAGTTGAAACAATAAATCTGAATAGTAGTTAGACATAGGTTTTAGATGAAGAGTAGTAAAAGTGTTATAATTTCTCCCTCAAAGAACATAATTGTTTCAGTCAAAGAGGAGTCTTTTATATGAATGACAGTGGCAGGATTGAAAATCACTAAATTTCAGTTCAAGAAAAGAGATAAAGATTAAAGTGGAGGATTTCGTACCTACAAGCACACGCTATGTGTATGAAAACATAATTACATAGATAAAGATAATCTGGAAAAAAACAGTTGTGTATAAAAAGTCTTGATTATACACCGTGTCATCCAGTATTGCAGTCAGAGATGTTATCATGCAGCTATACAGGCTACAACCAACCTCCTTTTAGGACTGGATTAGGTACGTTGAATGGACACTGAACTATGGCTAACTTCATGTTGTCTATTTCTGAGTGTTCAAATGATTCTATCCATCATTTTGCAATATTGCCACCAGTGGTGACTTCTCCTTCTACAACAATGAGTAACACAAATTTGAACCTCATATGGGATATCATTTCCCTTGAGATGACAGATATGCCTTGATGATAAGCGCCAAGAAGTACAAAACGGACGTCAAGCAGATGTTCTTGTCTATTACCTCCATCCAGCTAACATCGACAGGTAGGCCATCTGGATGATGAGTCCTAACCTAGTGGACATATTGGAAAATGATGGTCAAATTCAATCAGCACCTCGGGTTAGACAACATGAAGTTACTCTCCAGTGACCAACCAATGTACACTACTATCTCTTCATCAGATTTGGACTAAATGTTTGTAATGTTTGCTTCTACCAACCAGGTTTTGAAAAGATGTACCTGCACAGTAGTGAGTGATTTCTTTCTCCATGAGACTCAAACCTCGTACCCACGCTTTAAACGCCAAGGAGTTATTGACTATGCTACGGAGGAATGATAGTGGCTTCTTGTACAATGGGTAATAGTTATTACTATTCATTGACATACTTATTATTCTCCGTTATTTTATTGGATAGAATTGTTCAATGGGTACGAAGTTCGAGTCTCAGTAGGGACAACATCACTGGGGTCCAGGTACATCCAGCTGACGACTCCCGAATAGGACGAAACGTGCTTCCTGGACTCTTCTGCTAGTCACAACCAACAAAATTATCATAATTAACACTCAGGCAGTATGGAGACATCCGCATAGAAGCCCATATGTCAACTGTGGTCGAAAAATTCGATCCAATGAAACAACGGAGAATAACATGTATGTCAATAAATAGTAAGAATCTCTCTGTGTTGGCAACATGACTTTATTCTTTAATCAAGCTGTACGGATGGATGACTGCAGAAATTCAAAACGGAAATTATTCAGAAGAGCACTATGTATTCAGTACAATGTCCTATCAGTTATAACACAAATCGTCAACCATGTCTAAATATATCAATACCGTGTGTATGTCCCTGAAGACGTATTAAGGCGTATATTACTGCCAGTGTGACCATAAACTAAGTTTCTACATTTCATAACTGGCTGCACTATATATCTCTCTGAAATTCTGTCTAACAACACATAAAAGAAAAGCTTTCTATAGTTTAAACATGATAACAAACCTTCGACGCATAGTATTTCTCATGAAAGCGGTGGCATAATGTCAAACTTCTTTGAAACAGGGGTTGAACCCACGACTCAGTGGTCGACAGTCATCTTCTTAAGTCCCTAATTCCCAGCTCTATAAAGACAGTGAACCTTCAGTTGAAAACGTTAACCGATGATTTTCGGATCACTTCAGTTTGCAACTGAAAACACTCATTTATTTAGAAGTAGTATTCATCATGGACTGACATCAGTTGGGGAACCATTGAAAATCTGGGAGCACTGGACAGATGTTTTGTCCTATTATGGGACTCCTCAGCAGTACGCACCCACAACCCGGCTAGGGGTCGAACTCAGGACCTTCGGGTTACTTGTTATACAGCTTTCTAAATTTTCAAAAGACCGCCTCGATATTTCACTAGGCCAATAATGTCATTCAACTTGACATCTGTATGAACGCACAAGGTAGACTAACTGATGTTAGGGATTTCAGTTAAATATTTATCAGGGACTGAAATCGGTTAGAGAACCATTAATCACTTAAAAGTACTAGCCAGACGTTTCATCCTAGTGTGCACCCATCATCATGCATCTAACTCGGGACTTTCAGGGTTTTGTATCGATCACCTTCCCATTAACCAAAAGGCTTCTGCAACTCATGTCAGTGCATGATGAACACAAACCAGAAATCAATAAATAAATCCTCATAAACCTTAAAATTGATGTTAAGAACTAAACACGTAATTAAATGGAACGAAATCACTCACATTTTCTTTCCTCTCCACGTGAATCATCTGATGATTTTTTCAATAAATCTGTATAATTACAAACTGTGTATGAATCATTCATCACAGAGTTATCTGATGATAATGATGGTGAAGAAGTTGAAGTGGAGGAGATAATGTCAAACTGTAGTACAACTTCAATTTGATTTGCTTTCTGTTCATAATCAATTGATTGTAATCCAAGACATTTAAAATTTGGTGCATTAATTTTACTTTCAATAATATCTTGAAATAATTGTGTGGTCAAGTTAACTAATGCTGGATGCAAGAAATTGGTATCCGATTTTTGATACATATGTTCTCTTCGAAAAAAAATATATTCACTACTTATTCATTAATATGTATTTAAAGAAATAATTTAAATCAAATCAGCGTATATACAACCGCGAATTGTAATTTGTATAAGAGAGCAGGCTTTATGATCAAACATAGTAATATAAGTTTGTCTAGATACACATGGTTGTTGCTGACAAATGAAATAATTTCCCCAAGGTCATTCATGGTTAACCAATCACACTATAATCAGCTGTCTCTTGAACAGAAATAATGGTAAAATAATAAATGAATCCATAAACGTTTTGTTCCTTTTTCTGATTTTGTAGAACACCAGGAATTTCAGGTAAATAAATAAGGTTAGACCACTTTAAAATAGTACACTCAGAATGATAACCCCTTTCTCATGCATAGCAAGCAGTTAAAGTGACAGAAAGCGTAAATCAGATAGTTTCTTTGGATGTCGAACCATCATTCATGAATGTGTCACTTGAATCAACGATTGATATCACAATTGTTGTGTTGACATGCTAGACTTCTTATTTAATCAACTGAGAGGTTTTACAATGCGATGCACAAAACTGTTCAATTCCGATCTATCATTTATCCAAATCAACATAGGACCAGACATTACTGTGTAATGGTCTGAGTTGCACAGCTCATATCAGTACATCAAGTAAAAAGACAGTGAAGTGGAAGATGAAGAAAAAAACTCGGTCAAAAGAAATATAAAGTACTAAAAGAGAGGAGGGAAGAGTGAGAAAATGGTGAGATTTTGTATAGCATTAAGATGAGAATAATGTGTGTATACATATGCGCCACTGACATCGGTTCTGAGCCATATCACCTAGAGTTTCCAACCACTGGTTTCTCTTGCCCCCTGGACCCCAACCGGCTAATCTCCATCGCCCTATATGGCTCAAACCAACAGTCAAAAACTTCATATATTGATGCCATGTTTTAGCCTGGCCACCTCCGGCATTTTTTCAGTCTGAATCTACTTTGGCCAACATTGTGTGACAAGGTGGACGGCGATTAGGCATATGTAGCACATGTCCCAACCATCTTAGTCGATGAAAATTCACAATCGTGTCAACTGACTTACTTCTTCTACCTAAAACTCTATGCCTGAGCCTGACTTCTGCGTTACTCAAGTGGTAACACCACAAAATACGGCTTATACTACGAAGGCAACGGTGGTCAAACACCTGAAGCCTTCTCATGTCTTCCACTTTCAATGGCCATGTTTCACAGCCATACAGTAGAAAAGAGCGGACTGCTGTACAGTTTATTGGTTCGTACTACAGACGGACAGAATGTGTATGTTAGTTGGTTGAAGGCAATCGGCAGGAAGCCCTGGACATAGGTTTCGTGCTTTTTGGCACTCGTCAGCAAGGCGTATCTGCAACCTCGACGGAACTTATGTTCCGCCTGAGATTCGATCGAACCCATGTCACCCAGTGTTATAGTCAGCAGTTTTACCACTGAGGCCACGACTGACCTCCTGTGGGACTGGCTTACGTGTATTAATTGGTCACGGGATTGCAACCAATTTCATGTTGTCTAGTCCTGAGTGCAGACTGGATCCTATCGATTAGATTTGTAGTAAGGCAACCAAGCTAGGAAGCTCAGCATCGCAGTGCTACAGGAGGTCAATCGTGGCCCGAATAGCTCAGTGATAAAGTCGCTGACTACAACACTGGGTGACATGGGTTCGAATATCAGGCGGACATCAGTTCCGTCGAGGTTGCAGATACGCCTTGCTGACGAGTGCCAAAAAGCGAGTTACCTATGTTCAGGGCTTTCTGCCGTAAGCCTTCAACCAACTAACATCTACTAATGTGCACCGCGATGCTGAGCTTCCTAGCTTGGTTGCCTCGTTACAAATATGATCGATAGGATTTGATCTGCACTCAGGACTAGACAACATGAAGCTGGTTGCACTCTCGTGACCATTGAATACAGGGAAGAATGTGTAGCTATGGGCTGTCCGCTTGGTCTTATATTTGCAGACGTATTTAAAGCCCACTGAGAGGATATTAAATGGGGTGGTGCCATGAAACAGACAAAATTGCATTTGAAATATGTAGAAGATACATTCGTAATATGTGAGATTCAAAGCGATGCAAGGAACCTACTCAGATCTTTCAGTTCATTTAGAACATGTAGCACTAGATGGAATGAATTTCTTGGATTTCAGCATTCAAAGAAATAAAGACGGTTCTATACTATACAGAATTCATCAGAATTTTATTTGAACTGGTCAATATTTACCATTTAATAGCTTTGGTCCCATCGCTTATTGAAGAAGTCTAGTCAAGATTCTATTTTTAAGGGCAATTAGACAATGTTCCAAGGAGACCTTTGAAAATGAATTCGAAAATATATGAAAAACTGTTAAATAACAGATATCATCGTAAACTGACATCAGTTGGAGGAACAAAGGAAACCTGGGAGCACTGGGTTCGATCCATGGTGGGATCGTGAGTGCGCACCGCTGAGGAGTCCCATACTAGGAGGAAACAGCCGTCCAGTGCTCTCAGGTTTCCTTTGCTCCTCCAACTGATGTCAGTCTACGATGAATAAAAACTTGAAATATTTCCAAATCCCCACAACACCCTCAAAATTAAATCGAACTGGTGCTCACTGGTGACTAGTTTCGAGAAGTATTCCTCAAGTTCCAATGAAAAGTCGTGACCGGTGGAGTCAAAGCCTGATGGTCGTGAGGACAGTTACTCAACGATGACATTGAGTGGCGGTGGTGGGTGGCACTATATCGTGAGCTAACAGAAGTTTGAAATATGGAGCATTGGATTCTGACCCAGTGGCTCGATGGTAAGGTGCTGGCCATGGAAGATGAAGGTCGTGGGTTTGATCCCTAGTGGTGCTGGGTCGTGGATGCGCACTGCTGAGGAGTCCTATACTAGTGTGACGAAACAGCTGTCTAGTTCTCTCAGGTTTCCTTTGTTCCTCCAACTGATATCAGTCTATGATGAATAACAACTTGAAATATTTCCAAATCTCCACAACTCCCTCAAAATTCAAATAATAAATATCCTATGAAGTTCATTAATAAACACTTTAAATCTGAAAGGGGAAAACTGAATGATGAAAACGTATCGAGAAATAAAGTGTTCATTGTACGACTATTCAAAGGCGATAAATTGAGTTCATAAAATAACCTCCGACTGAATGCATGAATCACATTCAATTATTCAGGCTTTCAGATAAATGGTTGTTTATAACACGAAGAACATGATTGCAGAAACTAATTTAGAAGTGAAACCTCTTCATTTTATCTTCAATTATATCTGTCTATTTATCTGTACTTGCAGTAGCATGTAAATCAGAAGAACAAAGAGGATATTTACTAAGAGAATGTCTGAACGTGTACAGAAAAGCCTGTCATTGAGAGGTGAAACGCTACTTAGGTGTAAATAATAGATAAAGTAACAACTGCTAAGTTATGCAGTAGCAGCAGCAATCGGTTGACTGGAACCAGAATTTTGTGTACAATCTGCAATCCTTTGGCGGATTGTTCTTTTATTAAAAGTTTATTTATTATTTTATTCTTCCAGTTTATCATCTCACGTATTTTTCCCAAACATCATTCAGATTCCCATAATTTGCGATTTACTCAGATCGGTTATTTTTTAATCATGGTTTTTGGTATATCCTTTTCCATTCCTCTGTCATTAATTCATATACTTTACATACCATCTTTGTTGTTCTCTACCTTTTGTCAGATTTCCTGTCACCATGAACTGTGATAATATGCCTGGATCACTATTACGTAGTGTTATTCTCCTTGTGTTCACTGATCAGTTTTACAGTTCGACGTGTTATTTTACCCTCTCCTTGCACTGGTTGATTAGGTTTTCAACTTTATCATTCATCTCTGTTCTCATACAAATGTACTGTTGTCTAGATGCGGAAGATGTATTTATACTGGATGATTACTGAAGGTGAAGTGAAAAATAGACTGCCGGGGGGATTCGAACCAGTGACCACCGAGTTTCCAGCTCGGTGATCTACCAGCTTAGCTACGAGATCCCACTGCTCGCTAGGTTTTTATTTCACTAAAGTCACCAAGGGTTTTGTTCGACTATAATGTGACTTTGTGAATTCTGGTCAACAGTCGTAGCTCAATTGGTAGAGTATCGTGTCGGCAACTCAGCGGTCGCTGGTTCCAATCCCGCCGTGATTCAAACTTTCATTTCACCTTCAATCATCACCTAGCATCAATACTAGTCTGCCAAACCATGGCTATTCCAGATAGTCAAGATTATTATTATTATTATTAGTCCCTTGGGTTCCTAGTGGAACATAGGGCTTCAGTAGCACGCCTCCAGTGACCTCTGTTCTCTGAGATCTTTTGAACCTGGTTCCACGACAGCCCAGAAGCTCTCATTTCCTGCTCGCACGATCTCCTCCATGTCACCCTTGGACGTCCAACTCGTCGCTTCCCATCGGGATTCCACTCGAGTAACTGGCCTGACGCGTGATGTCCTCAGTCGGCCTTCTCAGTGCATGGCCAATCCATCTCCACTTCTTCCTGCATATTTGTTGCGTGATAGGTTCTTGGTTGGTTCGTTCCCAGAGTTCCACCTTGCTTATTTTTTCTGGCCATCTGATCTTCAGCAGCGAGCGTAAGCAGTTGTTGATGAATGTCTGTAGTTTATTGGAAATACCTTTCGTGACGCGCCAAGTCTCTGAGCCATACAAGAGCACTGACTTGACGTTGGTGTTGAAAATCCGTATCTTGTTCCGCATGCTGAATGCAGAAGATCTCCACACTGGTCAAGATAGTAGAAATAAAAGTGGTATTGGTTTTACACTTGAAACGTAACAAATGACTTAGGTTGGACACTGATAGTTTACTGTGCACGATTTTACACTCAGTACGTAAGTGGAAGATTTAGAGGACACAAATAGGAATTCGATTCATTCCAGAATGCTTTTTGTTCTTGGCATGTAAAAATTTATAAGGGACCTGATCTTATGACAATGTGAGAAGTAACTAAAGCAATGACTTTTTGAAATGTTAGAAATAAAGATCATAATATTCACATTAGAGTCCTAGAACTATAAGTAACAATAGTATTCAACTTCATTTTGTTTATAAGGTGTATCAC